AGTTATCATTGACCAGTATGTACTACCAAAATACTTTTATAGGTCCCAGACATCTAAAAAAAATTATAGACTATAATATAAAATACCGCTGTTTTGTGTAGGTGTGAAATTTGATTTCTCTCGTTAAGGAGGGAACACAGATTGGGAATGTTTGAGAATAGGGTGTTGAGGGGAATATTTGGACAAATGGAGAATGAAGTGACAGGAGACTGGAGAAAATTACACAAAGAGGAGATTCATAATTTGTACTCTTCACCAAATATTATTAGAATTATAAAATCAAGGGACTTAGGTGGGCGGGACATGCAGCGCGCATGGGTGTTTGGAAAAATTCGTGCAGACGTTTGGTAGGAATACCTGAAGCGAAGAGACCACTCGGTAGACCTAGATTTAGATGGGAGGTTGGGTCTTACGGAAACAAGAGTTGAAGGGTGTGGATTACATTCTTCTGGCTTAGGATAGGAACCGGTGGCGAGCTTTTATGAACACGGTAATGAATATTCGGGTTTCGTAAAAGACGGATGATTTCTTCACTAGCTGAACGCCTGTCAGGTTGTTATGAAAGTCCCTGCTCCATAGAGTGAGTTGTTGGTTTTTTAATACCACGTTTCGCCGAAATACATTAAAGTTTGGGAGATGAAACACGAATACGCTGTCTGCCTGTTATGCGTTATTTTATACAATTTTATACACTGAGAACTAATAAATTGCTTTAGTATCAACACATTGAAATATTTGAAGGTGTGTACTTAATAAGATCGTAAGTTCGCATAAAAATGTAATAAAACTTCGATCTGATTTCCTTTAAGGCCTTTCTTTGTGTTGCTAATAAAATGCTACAAGCCCCCTTACAGGACCGTGTCATTACTTGTTAGTATTCTGCTACGATACTGCAATAATTCGCCTTCAGGTCCTAGCTAAGGTGGCAGCGGACTTTGACTGATGACAAAGTTCGAGCCACAACAGGGAGCCTGGTACAGTTCCTGGGATCGTATCACCGTGTAATTCAGGTGAAGTTTTTAGGAATCGCGTGACAACGCAGTGATGCAGGTACAAATAGTTTAAATCTTGGTAAATAAAATTTGAGGGAGAGGACGGAATATATCGCGATGGAAAAACTGAACTGAACATGACATAATTTGTGATCATAATGATCAGTTTTAATTAATTAGTAGTATAGCGAATGTTTATCCAAAGCAAAAATTAATTTGGTTAACTAGTTTTTATTTTTGTCTAAGTAAGCTAATAATGACTTTGAAACGTGGAGGTGGTTACCAACGTATGAACGTCATTCGTCGTACAATAGAACACTGCTGTACACAGATTTACTATTGAGTTAGTAAAATTTATGATTTTATTTGACTATAAAATGTTTTTTTTTAATCCTTACGTTTAATATTGATCAACCGGAAAATTTCAGTAACATTGATCTCTTTCATCTTCTAATCCAAAGAAAGTTTTTACTTTTTGACATATGAAAATACGTAGACTATTATTTGAAATCTAGAGGCGAGAGAGTTAAGAGATTCTGATAAAAGTCGTGTTCTAAAATTATTGATTGTTTTATAATTACAGGGTTATTACATTTTTAAGTAAGATGAATTTATTTAAACGGGGTAAGAAATTCAGCATCCGATTAATCGTCCAGGAACACGTCAGAGGAACTGAAACAGAGAATGTGTACAGAGCACTGTGTGAAATGTTACCATCATAAAAAGCGTAGAAGTTTTCTTATGAATCCCGGTGAAAGTGGTGGTACTTATCGTTAGTACTTAAAAAGTTTTGGAGCTTTAATATAAAAGTTATGAAATTTAAAATGATTGCAAGTCGAATTTATGGTAGTTTTTATGACCGGAAGTCTGAGTGAAAGTTGTCGAAAAAAATTATATTCATATTTCGTCCAGTTTTATATTTTACACAATGTTCTCACTTAGTAGAATGTTATGCAGGACTGCTGTCCCAATATTGAATAGAGGACGTGTGATACTGTAGTTTTAATATTCAGAACACAGAAGTTGTTCTCTTTACTGGTCTACCAATTACATAGAATCTTTACATACCGTAGGCCTGTGTGAAAATAGAAAACAATGAAGGCTGTCATGTAGAATTTTCCGTTTTTCCTGTAAAATACGCTATATCACGCAGTTTCTCAAGAAGACAAACCGAAAGACAGATGCTGTTTGAAAATACAGTATCCACTTTCTTTTGTACACAATCTTTGTTATCCACCTGTTTCAAAACCTCTTGTGTGTTTACGTACTTCAGATTCAGAAAACGGACAATTGCGTCAAAACCTTGAAACGATTTCAAGAGCACGTTCCATAAATTGGAACGATCCCGTCTCTGTCGAATAGATATTTCTACTTAGTTTACTGTTTTCTTTGGAAAAATCTTAGCGAGGTGTATATTCTGTAGCAAACGCCTGTGGAGTTGTGTTCAGACTATGTGCCCAACAGTAATGCTAGAGTAAGAAGATTTGTTTTTAGGTTGTTGCGCTGTGTAGTCTGGTCGATGTTTACCAACGTTTCTGAGGTCATACTGCCTCCGTCATCAGGGCGATGACA